AGCAAAAGCGCGCGTTTCAATTTCACTCAAGTAACGGAGGCAGCGGGCAAAGCAATTTGTTGTGCATCTAATTAGCCGTGTCTTCCGGCTTTCCCATTTTACTCGCGTTTTTTTTCACCCTATTCTCGTTTTTTTGTTTTCCTATTTCAATCGAAGCTTTATCCTTCTTTTTACCCAAAAGAATCGATCCTTAAGCGCAACTTTTTGTCAAGTTTTTATCAACTTTTTATCAACTTTTTTTTGATCCAACTTTTCCCACCAACTTTCCTCTTTTATGTCCTGCTCTTTCAAAATTGGCTATGAATTTTTAAACGTTGTCTTTAAACGCTCAGAGTTTGTTGAAGTTCTATAGATCAATCACTTTTTTTGCCTCGTTAAAAAGAAATCTCGTTTTTACCACAAGATGAGCCTTTTCTGCTAATCTTAACTATTAGGTTGTCCAGTTATGAATGCGCGCCTGCTCTTGAACAGCGTACCTTAGGGCTATACAATTTTATTGATTGAGTTGAGTGAGCTGTTAAACTGTTGGTTTTAAAATAAAGAGTTGTTATCTTAAAAACGCGCATTTATAACTGGACAACATAATATTAGGTTGGCAACTTAATAATGACGCGTTTATATAACAAATCATTTATTTCAAAAAAACATAAAAGAAGAGCTTTCAATTCGAAAGGTATTCTCCATTAGTATCTATGACTTCTTCCCATCTTCTGCGCAAATCCCGGATCTCATCCTCGAAGAACTTGGGAGTTTTTGAGGCGAAGTAGTCATTCACTGCTTTTATGACCTGCCCATGATCGTCGAACTTTTCTCCCTCCAAAAAGTGCTTCACCGACCGAAACAAAAAGTAATCTGAAGGAGCCAGATCAGGTGAATAAGACGCGTGGGGCAAAACTTTCCAGCCAAGTTCCACGATTTTCTTATAAGTGATCTTTGCAGTGTGAGATTTTGGGTTCTCGCGTAAAAATCTGACTCTCTCCGGTTTGAGCCCCAATTTCTTCAAAGACTCGTTAACTCTCATTAATTGCTTGGAATAAAGATCAGCATCGACGGTTTGGCCAGGTTTCAGCACTTCATAATGCACCAATCCCATGAAGTTCCACCAGCAACAGAGCATTATCTTCTTCCCATGGATATCAGGTTTGGGAGTGGTTTGAGGGGTCTGCCCAGCAGATAGCCATTGATTTTTGCGTTTAACGTTCTCGTAGTTGATCCACGTTTCGTCAGAAGTCAAAACCCGGTGAAAAAAGTCGTTTGATTTACATTTTTTGTAGCAAAATTGAGGCGACATTTTGTTGCTTTGGGTCAGCTCGTGAGGAACCCATTTTCCAACTCGATTCTTTTCCCAAGTTTGTGTAAATAGTTTTTGATTGTCGTATGGGATACTTCAAATATTTCTGCCTACTCACGAACGGTGAGTGTTGGGCAATCTTCAATTAAGGCGAGCAAGTCATCGTCGACCACTTCTGGAGGATGTCCTTGGTGTGGCTCGTCTACGAGGCTTTCATCGCCGCCTTGGAATCTTTGAAACCATCGTTGACATTGCCGAATGTTTATACTTTCCTCCCCAAAAACAGTGATGATCGTGCGATGAGATTCAGCTGGTGATTTTCCTTGTTTAAAATCGTAGAACAATGTAGCTCAAATACGGAATTTTTTGTCCTCCATTTTTTGCCAAAAAGCAAATGATGAAATTTGGAGCACTAAATGTTATTTATGTAGACATCTTTTACTTTGTATATATGCAAAAAAGAGGGAAGAAACGGCGCTTGAAATTACAAAAAACATGCTAAGTAGTGACACGTCATTATTAAGTTGCCAACCTAATAGTTTTAAGAGTCATGTTTCACTTTTTATAAGAGAAAACTGGCTAAAATGAATCTAATTATATATTATATATAATAAAAAAAAAGGAAATCAAGAATTGATTTGGGAATGGAAAGGAAATGGGAAATTGAGAGTTAAAAGAGAGTTTTGCATTAGCTTTACAAATAAGTGTCATTTTTAAGAAAAAAAACAAGCATCCAGCATCCAGGCAAAGCATCCAGTTCTTGTTCTTCTTGCTCTTGCACTTGCTCTTGTTCTTGTTCTTGTTCTTGTTCATCTTCTTCTTCCTCTTCTTCTTCTTCTTCCTCTTCTTCTTCTTCTTCTTCTTCTTCTTCTTCCTCTTCTTCTTCTTCTTCTTCTTCCTCTTCTTCTTCCTTCTTCCTCTTCTTTTTCTTCTTCTTCTTCCCTCTTCTTCTTCTTCTTCCCTTCTTCTTCTTCTTCTTCCTCTTCTTCTTCTTCTTCCTCTTCTTCTTCTTCTTCTTCTTCTTCTGCACTATTCTAATTAATTGCAATTTCAATGAAATTAAAATAATTCTTTGAAAAATCTCCAACTCCAACTATGAGTCAGTGTCTTAAAAAGCTCAATTTACGTTTCTTTGGAGATTTTCTTCTTTAAAAGAAATTGGCTTCATTTGCTATTCAACTAAGGAGATTCTTTACCTATTTTCCAAAAAGAAAGCTCGTTATTTAATGGATTTTTGGAAGATATCGATATCAAAAAATTTCAGTTTCAAGTTTAACAACTCAAAGCAAAGAATCCAGTTCTTGTTCTTGCTCTTGTTCTGCAGATTCTTGTTTTTTTTCTGAACAAGAAGAAGACCAAGAAGAAGAAGAGGAAGAAGAAGAAGAGGGAGAAGAGGGAGAAGAGGAGAGGGAGAAGAACAAGGAGAAGAAGAACAAGGACAAGGACAAGAACAAGTACAAGTACAAGTACAAGAAGAAGAAGAACAAGAACTGGATGCTTTGCCTGGATGCTGGATGCTTGTTTTTTGTCTTAAAAATGACACTTATTTGTAAAGCTAATGTAAAACTCTCTTTTAACCCTTAATTTCCCATTTCCTTTCCATTCCCAATTCAATTCTTGGTTTCCTTTTTCTCTCAGTTTTCAAAAAAAAACCTAATTTATTGAATAATTCGCTCCTGGCGGCCACTTTTTTTGCCAAACTTCCCATTTTCACCGATTTTTATTCACTCTTCCGATAATGAGTGATGTGGATACATTAATTTTTTGATCGGCTTTTCAAGAAAAGAAAAATAGAAACAAGATAAAGATTGAGATTGTATTGTAAATTTATTGTGTATCTATTGTACATTTATTGGGCATTTATTGGGCATTTATTGTACGTTTTATTGTACATTTAATTGTACATTTATTGGGCATTTATTGTACATTCGATTGTACATTTGATTGTACATTTATTTCTTTTTATTAAAACTGTTGAAAAGTTGTTGTTTCAAGTGAGCGAATATCGTTTTTCGAGTTTTTTAATTTGAGTTTTAATTTTCAGGTCTACTTGAGTCTACAGCTAACTCTCTGAATTTGGTTCCCTATCTCTGCAATTTGGTTCCCTATCTCTCCAATTTGGATCCCTATCTCTGCAATTTGGTTCCTTATCTCTGCAATTTGGTGCCTAATCAATTTTCGACAATTTCTTTTTTTCTAAACCACTTTTGGCTTACTTAAAAGCAAATTTTGATAACCTATTTGAAAGGGGAATCATTTCTTTTCATTTTTCTTTAAAACTCTACCTTAAATAGTCAAATTGCTTTTGAAATTCTCGATTTTGAGAAGCTGAAAAATTGTTTAGTCAGCCTTAAAAATCGCCAAGGTTTGACTAAAGTTTAGCTTACGAATTTTTCCCCAAAAAAATCTTCTAGATCGATTTTTCTAGGGCTTTTTTGTACGCTGAGTCTAACTGTTGATATTTCATAAGCTAAAAACTAGTTTCCTGAGCTAAAAATTGAGTGCGCGAGCTTTTTGAGTGACTTGCGGTGTTTTCCTCACAAATTGGGTCACAAATGGTCAGTTTGTGTATCAATTTCTCAGTATCAATTTCTAATTGATAGATCTTTCGAAATCCCGTAAAAAAATCTGAAATCTATTATATTTTTTTATCATTTTACCCAACTTTAAAGCTCTTTTTATATTCAAATACGTTTATATACAATGAGAAGAAACTGTTGAACGATTTCTAGGCAAAAAAAAAACTGCTTTAAGCTTGAATCAGCTTCAATTAGCAGCTCGAATCAGCTTCAATTAGCAGCTCGAATCAGCTTGAATTAGCAGCTCGAATCAGCTTCAATTAGCAGCTCGAATCAGCTTCAATTAGCAGCTCGAATCAGCTTCAATTAGCAGCTTGAATCACGAGCCTAATCTTTCTTGTGTTTTGGATAAAACTTTTCTAGAACTTTTATTTTATCATTGTAATTTATCATTGTATCATTCTAACTAACATTTATCATTCTAATTTCTTTTTTTTTCCTTTTACAACAAGAGCAAATTCTTGAAGAACTTTAACACAAAAAGTGCTTTTTTAAATAAGCCAAAAAATCACGAGCTGTGCCTCGAATTTTTTAAAGTGCAAAAACAGTTTTTAAAGTGCAAAATCTTTTGGAAAAATACTGCAGTTATGACGCGAATATTCTTAAAAAACTTCCTCACAAACATCTGACTTTTTACCAGTGTTATATAGAAAAATAAAGCCCTTTTTCCTTGACATCATTTATCTATAAAGAAATTTCCAATTGCAATTTTACAACTCATTTTACAAGCTCTCTAATGAGCTCCACTCTCTGGAGTCGGCCACTCTCTGGAGTCGGCCACTCTCTGGAGTCGGCCACTCTCTGGAGTCGGCCACTCTCTGGAGTCGGCCACTCTCTGGAGTCGGCCACTCTCTGGAGTCGGCCACTCTCTGGAGTCGGCCACTCTCTGGAGTCGGCCACTCTCTGGAGTCGGCCACTCTCTGGAGTCGGCCACTCTCTGGAGTCGGCCACTCTCTGGAGTCGGCCACTCTCTGGAGTCGGTCACTCTCTGGAGTCGGCCACTCTCTGGAGTCGGCCACTCTCTGGAGTCGGCCACTCTCTGGAGTCGGCCACTCTCTGGTCTACGATTTGACGCTTTTTAACAAACTTTTCAACCCCTTAAACCCTTGATTTCTAGAGCCAACGGGGTAATGGACAGCGAGTATCGAATAATTCTGAATGTCGGTGGAGTGAGACATGAAACGTACAAACACACGTTGAAGAAGATCCCAGCCACGCGGTGAGTGAGGGATAGAGTGTGCTCCTTGTTGACAGACAATTTGTTAGACAAATTTGCATTGACAACTTTTTTGTCAGACAATTGATCCGACAAACTTCTGATGCAAAGCATAGGGTTACGGTGGCTTATCTTTGGCGCGCTCTTTTTAGAAAGCGCTTTGTCTGCAAGGAACACACTCTAGTGAGGAACATAAAAGATCCTCTCTTCTCAATCCTCTTGGCTAACCCTTTCTTTTCAGATTATCCCGTTTAACGACAAGTCTTGCCAACTACGATCCGGTGCTCAACGAGTATTTCTTTGATCGACATCCTGGCGTTTTTGCCCAAGTTTTGAACTATTATAGGTATGAAAGCCGTTAAAAAAACTCGAGTTTCAGCTCGTAGACTTAAAATGAATGGGCTTTTTTGAATGAATCTTTTTTGTTCTGTAAATTTTCTTTAAATCTTCTTTAAATGATTCTCAAATGAGATTTAATGTTAAAAATTTGTGCCAAACGTTTTTAGAACCTTTTAGAACCTTAGAACTAGTAGAACCTTTTGGTAGAGTTTATTTTAGCCATTTTAGTCATTCCCAAGAAAATCGAATCGAATTGGCTCAAGAGAAACGAATTGACTTTGGGTTTTGTATACGATAGCTTTGTAGCTTTGTGCTTTGAGCTATGATAGCTCATATAGCTTTTCACAATGAAAGCTCATATAAAAAACGGATTTTCAAGAAGAGCCGAAGATTTTCTCATCGAAAAAAAACAAGAAAACAAGTTTAGAACGGGTAAACTCCACTATCCCCTCGATGTATGTGGACCGCTTTTCGAGGAAGAGTTAAAGGTTCAATTTTTGGTTTAACAAACAGTTTAATGAACAGCTTGACAAACAGCTTTACAAACAGTTTAATAAACAGCTTAATAAACAGCTTTACAAACAGCTTAACAAACAGCTTTGCAAACAGCTTTGCAAACAGCTTAACAAACAGCTTAATAAACAGCTTAACAAACAGCTTAACAAACAGCTTAACAAACAGCTTAATAAACAGTTTAATAAACAGTTTAATAAACAGCTTTACAAACAGCTTTACAAACAGCTTAACAAACAAACAATATTAGAATTTTCAAAAGAAACTCTTCCAGTACTGGGGCCTGGATTCGAGCGATTGTGAGCCATGCTGCTGGATGACTCTCTCGGCCACAAGGGACACTCAAGAGGTGATCAAAAGATGATCAAAAGATTGATTAATCAAAAGAAAAATACAATCCAATTGATATTGATAGTCTTTTAAAATCTGATAGTGATCTAAAGTATAAAAATTTGGGGGAGAAGAGGTCAAACTTTGGCTGTGTGGGTGATCTTTGTGTGATCGGATGATTTGACTTTGTTTTGGTAGGGTTTTGTTTGGGTTCTGGCATTGTTCCACTCAAAAAAAAAAACGTTTAACACTGAGAAAACATTGATCCCAGCCACCTTTTGATCACTTGAAATCCCGGTAGCAAAGCAAGAATCCCTAATCAACAAAAACTAATGCTTAAATTGGTTGATCAGTTGATCAAATTGAAACCGCCTTATTTACCAAGGTTTTTCCTCTAATTTAACACTTTCAGCATCTAAATTTTGTACTAAAACCTTCAGTATTAGCACTTTATTGTGGCTTAGGCTTAGGGGGCAAAAACTAATACATAAGCCTAAGCCTGAGCCTAAGCCTAAGCCTAAAAAAAATGGGGGTTCAGCCCAAACCCAAATAGACTTAGTGCTAGGCGCTAGCGCTAGCCTACGCACTAAGTCCAAGCCTAAGCCTAAGCCTAAGCCTAAGCCTAAGCCTAAGCCTAAGCCTAAGCCTAAGCCTAAGCCTAATACTGATACTAGCACAATAGCACTAACGTTCATCCAGTTTAAGCTTGACAAGATTGAAAATTTGAAAGTTTTAATTTTTCAACCTCTTTCAGGTACTTCAAACACTCGACAAACTCGACATTGACACCTCGGATAAAGTGGATGGACCGGTGAGTTCATCAAGAATCATCTTTACCATCTTTGAATGTCATCAAGAAAATACTTTGCCTCAAAATCAAAATCAAAAGCTTCAAAATTGAAAAACTTTCTAGGTTCTAGGAAAAACTTTGGATCTTGTTAAATTTAAAAGCTATTGTACAGATTTGCTCAAATTGAGCCCAAACCATACAAAAATATGGTTATCGGACATTTGATAAGCGCCTCGCCTCTTTTCCCATTAGCAATCCAACTTTGAGCTCAAATATCTTGGTGTTGGGTTGTCCAATTTATAAATTATTAGTATCATTAGATGCGCCAAGTCTTTCTCTGTCGATTGGTAGAAAAACTATTTAAATTGAACCGCCAAACATCAAGACATTTGGGCTCAAAGCTAGATTGCCAATGGCAAAGGGGGCGGGGTGCGTATAAAAGGTCTGTCGCCCTGCTGATTGGTACAAAAACTATTTAAATTGGATACACCAAGATATTTGAGCTCAACACCAAGATATTTGAGCTCAAAACTAACGCTTAAAACTTTGCCATTGGCAATATAGCTTTGAGCTCAAATATCTTGGTGTTGGGCTGTTCAATTTAAATAGTTTTTCTACCAATCGACAGAGAAATACTTGGCGCATCTAATGATATCAATAATTTATAAATTGGACAACCCAACACCAAGATATTTGAGCTCAAAGTTGGATTACCAATGGCAAAGGGGGCGGGGTGCGTATAAAAGATCTGTCGCCCCGCCCCCTTTGCCATTGGCAATCTAGCTTTGAGCTCAAATTTCTTAGTGTTGGGCCGTTCAATAAAAATAGTTTTTGTACCAATCGACAGAGAAAGACTTGGCGCATCTAATGACATCAAGAATATTCAAATGGGACCGCTCAACACCAAGAAATTTGAGCTTAAAGTTGGATTGCTAATGGGAAAAGGGGCAAGGCGCATATTAAATGTCCCAAAATCTTTTTTTTTTTGCCCAAATTGACTTCATTGTAATGTTGTGCGTTTAATTAAACTTACAGGAGCTGTATAAAAGATTCGGCTGGGAAGACGACTACCACAATAACAGTTTGAGCAAATGGCAAGTGCTGAAGCCGAAAATTTGGAGACTTTTCGATGAGCCTTCATCGAGTACAGCTGCTAAGGTACGTAAATGTGTTTAACAATGGTTCAACAATGGTTTTTTTTCGCTTACAGTCGCGTAGTCTTTTCTAAAAAGATAAACTAAACTATTATAGTGATTCGATAGCCCTGAATCTCCTCTTGAGTTAGATAACTCCATGAGGATACTACTGACGATACTGATGACGATACTAATGACGATACTAATGACGATAACTCAAGAGGAGAACTCTAACTCATCTAACTTACTAAGTTATCTAACTTTCTGCAAAATAAACAACAAACTCGTTAAAGACTTAAGTTGACATCAAAAAACTCGTCGTTAGTACGTCATTAGTACGTCATTAGTATCTTCATTAGTACGTCATTAGTATCTTCATTAGTACGTCATTAGTATCTTCATTAGTACGTCATTAGTATCTTCATTAGTACGTCATTAGTATCTTCATTAGTACGTCATTAGTACGTCATTACTATCGTCATTAGTACGTCATTAGTATCGTTATTAGGATCGTTATTAGCACGTCATTAGTATCGTCATTAGTACGTCATTAGTACCTCATTAGTATCGTAATTAGAACGTCATTAGTACGTCGTTAGTATCGTCATTAGTATCCGCATGGATGTGTTAATGATCATTTTTGGTCTTTCAGAAGATAGGGTTCTAAAATTGAGTTGTTTTATCTTGAAATAAATAAGCCGCGTTCTTTCGCGAGCTCTTAAGCAAGCCAAAAGAAAGAAAGTGAAATTTTGACGGAAATCAGAATTTCAATCAAGCCAACAATCGATTTCAGATCATCGCCTTTATCTCAGTCGTCGTTTTGATCACGGCGATCACCGTTTTCTGCCTGAAAACCGAGCCGAATTTTCGGATTCCCGATTTAGAATCGATCATGACGCCGTACCCATTGAACAGGTCAAATATAAAAGTTGAAAAAGTGGAAAAACTAAATAGAAAGGAGAATTTACCCATTTTCCGTTTTAGAAGCGAACGCTCGGTGCCCAGCCACAAGTACAAAGCCGTCAATTTCCCGGTTCAGAAAACCAACTCCAAAGCGAGACCTATATTTTCAGTGAGTTCTTCTAACAGAGCTTCTAACAGAGCTTCTAACAGAGCTTCTAACAGATCTTCTAACAGATCTTCTAACAACACCTAAAAAATCAACTAAAACAAATAAAAAAAACTCTTAAAACACATCAAAAAGATACATAAACGGAAATAAAGACAAAAAAAAGCAAAAAAAAGGGCCCGAGCAGATCTTCTAACAGATCTTCTAACAGAGCTTCTAACAGACCTTCTAACAGCTTCTAACAGATCTTCTAACAGATCTTCTAACATCTTCTAAAAGCTTCTAACAGATCTTATAACAGATCTTCTAACAGCTTCTAACAGCTTCTAACAGATCTTCTAACAGATCTTATAACAGATCTTCTAACAAAGCACAATTCTTCTAACAGAGTCTCTAAAGAGCTAGAAAAGAAAAAAGTTACGGCTTTGTTACGATAAAACTGATTTTTTTTAGTACATAGAAGCTGCGTGTAACATTTGGTTTACGATAGAGATTCTCATCCGATTCGTATCGTGTCCTTCAAAGATTGAGTATTTCAAGGTGGGTTTGGAGTAGATTGTGCTCAATCAATCAACGATCAATTAAACGCAATCAATCAATTAAACGATTAGAGTTGGACAATTGAGAAAGGGGTACAAACAATACACAAGCACAACCACTAAGCCCTAAATGAAAGCAATAGCCATGAAAGCATGCAACAGCAATGAAAGCACTGGGAAAAAGCAGTAAGCTAACCAGCGGGATTGAACCCTCGACCTCTTGTCTAAGATATTGACAATACTAGGCTCTTACCCAGTTGGCCACGGAGGTCACGATTGAAATCGATTAAAATCGATTAGAATCGATTAATGCGCTCGCATTGACCTGCTATTCAGCTAACAAGAGACTGGCTGAGCCAAATGCTATGCAACCTATACCATTCGACGCAGAATTTGACGCTGATTCCGAATATATATTCCATTTTTGTTAAATGACAATCTAAAGAGTTATAAGCGTCTAAAGTTTTGTTAGGACTTTTGAAAATGTCTTAGGTCTTAGCGGTCTCGGTGCAGGCCCGGTCAGATGCAGCGGTGGCCAAGTGGTACAGCGCTCGTTTTCAAAGCGAGACCTCGCGAGTTCGGTCCCTGCTTTGATCCGTCTTTTGATCTTCTTGAAACTGATTGGGGAAAAAGTATAGTGTTTCAACTTGACGCATATCAGGACTCGATTTCCAGTTTCCCTACTGACTTGACTTTGACTTTATTTGACCTAGAATTGCAAGAAATTGAGCACAAAAATAATTAGCTTGGCTTGAGCTGGGAAAACGGCTCTAGGAACCGCGTTGGTTGTTGGCTATGGCTTAGGCTTAGGCTTAGGGGAATTGGAGAAGAAATCAAAGCTGTAATATTAGGTTGATGCATAAGTCTTTTCGTTTTTTTCGTACTTCTGTTAAAAAGTAACAAATTCACCAATTAATCTATAGTTTTGCTCTATAAAAAAAGTGTTTTTTTGTTCAATTTGCATCTTTTTAAATGAATTTCGGTTCACTTTCAAGCAAATTCGAGAGTGAAAAACGCCTTTTTCGTAAAAATCTATAAAAAACTCTACGGAAAAATTGGCTGAATGAATTTCTCTGAAATTTTGGCGAAATATCAAACGTTTTTTTTCTCTATCTTTTGTCTATTGACACGAAGATAGGTTTTCTTTAGCTAAGGTGTCTAAACCGCATCATCGAGTTAGCCCTTTTTGACTACCCGACTTCATACTCTCAAGAAAATCCAGGCATTAAATATTTTTAAACCCGTTTTAATGTTATTTTGCAGAAAAATAATTGCTTTTTCTAATGAAATCAACCGTAGTTTAATTGGTGCATTTGTTGGCTTGAAACGGCAGACGAAAAGGAACAAAAACACTTATGCATCAACCTATTACATATATTACAGCTTAGAATTGGAGAAGAAATCATTTTCCCATTCCTACAATTCTAGGCGCCCGTAAACATCATCGACATTGTCGCCACAGCCACTTTCTACGTGGACATGTTCACGGCGGCTGTCGGTGCCTCGGCGGACCTCGAATTCTTCTCAATCATTCGCATCCTTCGACTCTTCAAACTCACACAACACTCACCGGGATTGAAGATTTTATTGCACACTTTCAGGTAGACAAAAGGGGATTTTTCTGTATTACGCACAGCCGTTAGCTAGCCGATTGATGATTGGTGGCATTTGAAAGCGGCTTCGGGATGCGCTCGGGCGAGGGTTTTTTTTTGTTGCCCAAGTATATAAAGCGTAAATGAGTTTGCTAAAATTCCCGTGTTTTTTTTTTTTTGCTTTCACAATCAATGACGTCACTGCTGCGAAAGCAAAAACTCTCGAGAAATAATAAAATTTTTAAGACCAGCTGAGCCAAAGCTTGATGATTCACTGAAAGCATAAAAATTTTGAGAGAAGTTACGACTTAAAAAACGATTCGAAAAAAGTCATCGCAAAATTTTTTTGGTGATAAGAATTTTGGAGAGAATTGGTGAACTTTCTTTGAACTTAGTCTTGATATTCTCTTTTCTAAATTGAAAATTCCTTTCCAAAAACTCCCCCCCCGACGATGTCAAAGTGCTGTTGGTGTGTTCCGTATAAGGTTTGTTATTGGGGAAAAATCTTCGATTCCCCCCCTTCCCCCTCATAAACTTTATTGTTTAGTTTTCTTGCGAAATTTTGTTGACTGCGAAAGTTTCAAAATAAAAGCTCTAAGTTGGATGGCAAATTAGGGTTTTTTATGAAAGAAAAGTGAAATTTTTGAGAAAAAAAAATTCAGCCAAAATCCTGGGAAATTTTCAAATTTTTCAGTACTCAGCTTTCCTGTTCGCCATTTTTTGCCTATTTTTTCAAATCGCCATTTCAATTGTTTACATCACTGAAGCGGTGAGTTTTGAGTGATCAAAAGTGATTCTTGATCCTCTCTGAACCAAAAAGTCTAGCTAGAAGCCTTCCAGGGTCAGACCTGGGCTAACCAGAAGCCAATGGTAAGCTGGCCCTAGGCTGGCCAATGGTAAGCTGGCCATGGTAGGCTGGTCATAGGCTGGCCATGGTTGGCTTGCGCTAGGCTTTCGGCCTGGTCTAGTCCAGCATCTAAAAAGTAGCGGCTTAAGCTCAATGGCTGCCCAAAAAGGCAGCTACAGCCTCCCAAAGTTCCGGCAAAAGGTCTGCCGTTGACCAGCAAGTAAACCCAGGCTAGATTCTGAGCTTCTGACTGCCTCAGTTTTTGTCGACTAACTCAGTTCAGAGACTTTTCCCCAACCATCTTTGCTCATCACTTTCCAAACGCATTTCTAGGAATACGGTGCATTCGGCTCGATCACTATCATCATTTTCTTTCACTTATTCGCTTTCGTCGGTTTGGCAAGGGAAAATGTTTGCATGCTGAGGACGTATTTTGTTTGGACGGTCAGGATTAGAGAGATTTCAGACCACAAACCGTAGCTTAACAATCTAGTATCAATTTACAGCTGATACTAGATCCAGTAAAGGTCTAGGTATTGTTTTGAGTGTCGGTCTGGATCAGCTTTAGTTACTTGCGATCTGGTGAAAGCCCGGGCTCTTCTAGGTGACTTTTGAATTGAAAGACAAACTTGAAACGTTGATAACTTTTCGTTGAAATAAGTTTTTCATTTGCTTTTGATGGATTTTAAGAGAACGAATTTCTGCCTTTCAAATGATACCAAAAAAAAAGGTTTTAAATGAAACGCTCAGTGCTGAGAAAAGCGAAACACCTACGCCGTCAGCGGGTTTCTTCTTTGATTCGGCCGATTCTTCTTTGATTTCTTTCCTCCTCACGACTCACCTTTCCCATTGGGCTCTTTTTGCGTCTCATTCGAAAGGCAGAAGTTTTCTCTCTTAAAATATATAAAAAGTCAATGCAGACGTTATTTCTAAGGAAATTTATTGGGGTTGGAGTCGAGAATGAGTCGGCGCCGAAATTTTTAAAGAAACTTTTTGCACCCATAAAACCGTCTTTAAAAACAGCGTTTTGTTTCATCAAAAATGGTCGACTATTTCTTTACAAAATGGCTTTTGAGAGATTCCATAAAGCTTTTTTTCTTTTTTTTTTGGTTTTTATGGATTCCCAAACACAGCTAATCAAAATGACAAAAAGTGCGACTCATCGCTTGAACAGTTTCTTCCACACATAAACCTCCTTTGGAATTTATATAAAAAAGATAGAGCACACTCGATTACATAAGTTACCAAATTCTCAGGAAGATCCCCTCCAATCGTTTACTCTTGATGACAGTTTATCGATTTTGTCAAAAAAAAAAATGATCCTTTGTTGAGTTGAGGCGCTGTTTGAGTTCTCTTTTAAATATGATTTTGTAGAGAATTCGTTACCCCTTCTACGGATATCAAACGCATATCATTTGACAACGTCTGCTATATAAGTTTTAGAAATTTCTTTCATTTTCGGCGCCGACTCATTCTCCCCAACCCAATATAAACGTTTCAAGTTTGACTTTCAATTCAAAAGTCACCTAAAATTTAAAAAGACACTTAAACTTTAAAAAGCCACCTAAACTTCCAAAAGCCACCTAAACTTTAAAAAGACACTTAAACTTTAAAAAGTCACCTAAACTTTAAAAAGTCACTTAAACTTTAAAAAGCCACCCAAACTTTAAAAAGCCACTTAAACTTTAAAAAGCCACCTAAACTTCCAAAAGCCACCCAAACTTTAAAAAGCCACCCAAACTTTAAAAAGCCACCTAAACTTCCAAAAGCCACCTAAACTTTAAAAAGACACTTAAACTTTAAAAAGTCACCTAAATGATGCAAGAGCCCGCTCACTAGACTCTACTAGAGTACTAGACGTCAATCTAAAGCCAACCGTACTATACACGACCCAAGTCAATCTAAAGATTGCCAACTAGGTGACACTCCGGAAATCCGGCATTCTCAAATCCCTTCAGATCATCGTCTCGTTCGGTTTCGTGATCAACTTCGGCTACATGACCTATATTTTGGTTCGCGGATCGAAAAATCCATTCTACGATCACTATTGCGATAAACATTCCTGCATCCAAGATAGTGACGCTAAAAATCGTGAGTTTCGACGCAAACGCATCACATTTGGCGCACCGAGCCTCTAGCCGGCTTAGTCACGCAAACTAGGCATTTTCTAGATGCTCGTCGTGTCGCCGGCGCAGTTCTCGGCCTCTCAATCATCGCTTTGATCATCAATTCTTCGACGACGAAGAGCTTTCACGCCTACATTCACCATCTCCTCTGCAAGCGTCAACGCGCCGTCCCCGATATGTGAGTTGTTAAAAAAAAGCCGATTGTTCATCATTTCTCAATCATTTTTCAATCACTTTTTTCTCAGCACTGGTTAATGCTAGAAAAATGTTTTATATCTCAAAACGTCACCCATTCTCTCGCCATTCATTTGATACCCAAACGCGCAGAAACAAACGTACTGGTGTCGAGATATGAGCGTTTCTTTGAGAGCAAACTTAGACTACACGACGCTCCTATAGGAGGAGGAGGCTTTTATTAGAGTATTTCCGGTGATATTACTGTGCCCAGACGATATTCGATAAGCTACCGTATGCGCGGATGGATTACGGTAAATCTAGCGTAATCCTATGCCCAAATGCGGCAGTGGATCGGTTCTGTAGCCCAGAAGGCTGCACAATTTGAGTTTTTCTTAAATTTCTCGAACTTTCAGCTGCTACACCCCAGCCACTCCCGTCCAAAGCCAGCCGGGCATGCAAGTCAACGTCATGGTAAGCGAATTTTTATGCAAATTGGCACCCAATTCGTCCAAATAGCTGAATATCGTCAAAAATCTCAAAATTCTAAAGATCTTCAGCTATCTAGGAGTACTGTAGTTGCCTCCTAGTGTGCTTCATGGTATCTGCAGGTTACTGTAATAGCTACAGCTACAGTAAATTGACTACAAATAAAACATATTTGAATCGAGACCCTTGCCGTACTGATTGCAGTCCGTTTGATCTAAATTCTGGAAAATATGAACTTTATCAAGCTCCCAAAACCAAATCCCATCTCCAGGTCCAATCCCCGCAAGCCGGTGGTCCGTATCCAGGCTACGTGTATCCGGCTCAACCAATGATGGCCTTCCCGCAACAACAAATGTAAGAAAATATTAATATACTAAATTATTTTTAAAAAATTAAAATTTCTTAAAAGTCTTAGAAATGGAAGCCAGTCAAAAAAAACCCGCCAATTTCAGAAACCCAGCAATGCCACCGGCTCACCCGTACCCAAATGTCTATCCAACAGCAGGTAAGTATTAATGGAAAAGTTATTCAAACTGTGATGACAAATAGTCATGAGTAATCGATTCTTATTGGGTAACCAAGACAAAGCCACAACACTGGATGCGTTTCCTAAAAGACACCGATTTTTCAAAAGCTACCGTAACCCACCGACCAATAAGGAATCACAAGGATCCGTGGAAAATTCAAAAACCCGGTGAATCGGATGGAAACTGGCGGGCGGGCTACGGTAGCTTTCCTAATACAGTACTTTAATCACGAGGATCAGTCTAAGCCGTATCAAAAACCCATGACTTTTGCCTAAACCCAGCTTCTTTTCAGCTCCCCTAATGGCTCAACCGCCGATCTCCAGCGCTCCGCCAGCGTACAACGCCTATGAAGAGCCTAAATATTAACTTCTTGCCTCCGATTCGCTCAATTTTTCGAAAAACACACGGGTAGTAAACATTTCCAATTTTTACACACACAAATCTTCACAGAAATCACGACGAAATGAACGAAAAATCTCTCTAAATGGCTTAATTTTTAAAATTAACCGACCCGAGCAATTCTTAGAAATTCTTAGAAAAAAAAAAACACAAGGAAAACTTTAACTACGTACAACTGGTCCTCTTTTTATGCATTCGTTTCCGCTTCACCGTTTCCCTCATTCTCCTCTTTGATCTCCACCCAATTGTTTCCGTACTCGCGGAAGAATGTGTTCTAAAAGAGAAACTGTACGTAAGGTTGCGTTGAAACTAGATTCTAGACCTTTTCTATTATCATTATGAATCTTTCTGGAGCCATGGCCAAGTAAGGTTTTAAACAGAGCCGATTCTGGCCTTATCGATCATC